AAGACAAAGACGAACTGTAAATTTAGATGTCTGAGTTCGAAACTTGACAATTCTTTTATGGTCAAACTATGACTGGTCATATCCCTCATAAATTATTTAGTACTCACGTGAATGATCTGTCTTTAATCGAATTGGGAAAAAGATTAATAAAGTGTGCGTAAACTGACTTAGACATTCTTGATCACAATACCCAAAAAAAAATTGGAGTGGAATTTTATCATGTGCCACTATCAGAAACTTAAGGGCTTATGCCTAGCTGATCATATTGAGGTGTTAAAGCATCTCCAATAGTATTCCTTTTATTTTTTTTGGAAATAGAGAATATCTTTGATAAAATTTTGAAATAGAGAGCAAAATATTTTAGACAACTTCAATAACCTCTTTATTCTAGTATAAAAATAGTTGTATAGTTAATAGTATGTAATGAAAGATGTACATGTATCATCTTTTCATTCAATAAAAATAGAAAAGAAAGAAAGTTGGACTCTCTAAATGTATAAAGCAAAAGAAGACTATCTATTTTAACTAGTCCGAATAGATAGTCTATTGAAGTTTGATTTTTGAGTGGAAGCCAAATGCTTGTTACATCCGTAATATATATTTATTTTGATGGAACCACTAATTTTTTTGGAACCACTAATTCAATCATCCAAATTTATTGAGTAAATGTTTTGATAGACTTTTTTTTGGTAAACACGCCATTTCTCTGTAGTATCCATTAGCATGATATCAGTCTCAACCGGGATCCTATGTATAGGGTCTAATTATAGCATCAAAAAATAATTTTCTAGTATGATATTTTTTTTTGTTTAGTTAAAATATTTTATTTTATTATTTTTATAAATTAATCAACTCAAAATCTATTCAAAAATCAATTTTAATGAGGTATCGATTTTTTATTTATTTCAATACCGTAACCCTCTTCGTTAGTAAATTCGCAAGTTATGGGGGGTATTGTTGAAATTATGAGGGGTTGTGGTATAATTTACCCTTTCTTATTTTCCCAACCAAAAGACTGTTTACTTCACCGTTTTTTGGGACTTGATTTGTTTCACAGATCACAAACACACAGAGGTTGAAGCTACGCTACAAACCTAGAGGATGATCGGAGTAGGGAAGATCAAGCAGTACACTAACGTCCTCGACAAACCCCTTAGCAAGGGCAAGCAAGAGGTAGTCACACAAACACACACACAAAAACTAGATTTCTACAATTTTAGGTCGTTATATCTAGATCATACAACAGGTTATTTAATTTCTGAGATCTCGCTCTAGGACTCATGTTGCATACCCTCATACTGCGGTTGGTTGCTGAGAAATCTGTGAAGAAAAAGGGAAAGAAAATGACTTCTTCCAATTTTTGTTTCACTTGTTGAAATGGGTTCTTAGTAGATTCATGAAAACTTAATCGAACTCAGCTGACTTGTGATGCTGTTTGGACCGACTGGGTTTAGGTTCAAGTTTTATTCATGAGCAGATAATGAGAAATATAATTAGAATGTTTTATTCTTTTTCTACTTGGACAATAAATGGAGGGCTTTGATGCTGCGTTTGGCAACATGACATTGGAATGGAATGGAATGGAAGAACATGAGTCAATTTTTTTGTCCTACTTGGAATCCAATTTCATTTCCACGGTCCAAACTTTTGGTGCTTCCGAATGTAGCTTAGATGTAATTGGGTTGCAATTTTGCTAAATTGCTTGGTGTTTTGCTGCAGGTCAGTTTGAGTGCATTTGCATTCTTATTTTCAGAGCTTGTTCAATACAATCAGACCCAAGTTGACAACATTGCTGAATTAGAACGAAGGTGATCACTAAATGAATCAATTTTCACTGTGCCTGGTATAACAAGTTTCTGCTTTATTCAAAATATATATGCCCAAACTGAGACCAAAATGATGCCATTTTCATTTCAATAGTTCATAGGAATATTTAAGGGAGGCTTTTTGCATAACTGATTAATATCTTGGTGGGATTGGATCATTCAAAGTCAAAAACCTAGTCTTTTCAGATGGACATTAACTGTGGTTTATCTATTTGATGGATAGTATTTTGGATAAATAGCTATATCCAAGGTCTGATTCTAAGAATTAGAAAGTGGAAACGTTGTGGATTTTTCATAAAAAGTGATCTAGGAGTTTTAAACCCAACTTAAGTGTAGTTATAATGTCTTAAGGATATTAGGTGATTGATTTATATGTAATTTTTAACATAATGCTCTTATGTGTCAAATGGGGCAGGTTGGAGGATGCAGGATATGCTGTTGGGGCACGTGTTTTGGAACTTCTTTGCCATAGGGAAAAGGTATGAGCTTTTACTCATAGTCTATATCGAAAGTGTTCTTGGTAAATCAGTTTAGTACTTGTGATCTGTACAATGACTGATGTTCAAGTTCAAATACATTTAATTTTGTAACCATCTAAGTTTATCACTGATGATTGGTCTTTTCCATCACCTGTTAGAAACTAGTCAATCCACTAACCTTTTAGCTTATTTGTTTTCATTGTTGTGGGCATGTATGATTGTTTTCCTTTTCTTTATTCACGGGGGTGGGGGGGACCATACCTTGGTTTAATTTGGACATTTTTGGGTTTTGAGAACTTCACATTGGAGATAAAATTCAGCTCGAGAAAGAAATTCTGTGAGTCACAATTTTGTTCTCTTTGGAGCTTGAGGTTGGAGTTCTGAAATTCTTTGAATTTTTGAGCGGCAGTTTGTGATTTTTATTTTCTCTTAAGTTGTGTTTTCAGTGATCTTTTAGTCATTCGAAAATGCTTTAGACTTCAGACTTCACTCTGACAATTTATAGTTGAAGCTGTATTACTTCTACTTATCATGTAGGGGATGGGAACACAGTATTTGTGCTTACTCAGTAAGTGCTGGCTTTACGTTTTCTCTTTTGAACTTGTCATTGTCAACAAACTTGTTGGCAATATGCCAATATGGTTGCTTCTTAAGGCTTGAAAAGGTGATGGAACAATTTTATGTTGAAAATGTATATTCGTGCATTTTTTCAACATTGGCTTTGAAGTTCTAGGACCATATGCCAACTACATTACTTGCCAAGTATCAAATGTTTTTTGCCTGCGTACCAATATATTTGTGGCTAGGAGTTGTGGTAGCGCAACACAACATCCACTTTGCAGAGACTATTAGGCTTTGATTGTAATTTGTTTTTTTTTTTTTGGAGCCATTAAGCAAACTATGTTAATATTGTCTTGATATTTGCATGTCTTTTTAATGGCACTGACATTAGTATTATTGTAGTGCTGATTATACTGATACTGCAGGGAAACAGAAGGGAGACCCGATTGTTGGGTATCTTATCTTTTGTACATAGTACAGTATGGAAGGTGTTGTTTGGTAAGGTTAGTATTTCTTAGCTTTCATCCTCTCCTAATGTCCCTTATTCCTTTCATTTTTTCATCACTTTTTGGATCGAGGGGTTCTGCAATGGAAAAAGATTTTAATTGTTGTTTCTTTATTGTGAAAAAGTTGTACTGAATAGAACATACCCACTGTTTTCTTTGTAGCAATGATCGTATTTTCAATCACAGGATTGAATAACATGTTAGTTTATATTACATCTAATGTTTTAGATTTCTTGATCATGTGCAATGTGTAGGCGTCATTTTATCAAGTAGGCTTTTCGAACACTTCGATATTTTTCAAGATGCAAATTTTGTTCTTACTTTGTATTGCTTCTTCTATTTAAAGGAAGTCTTGCCACAGTTATCTACACTTTCAGGAACCTTGGTCATGGTCTTTGATTCTGGCACATCTGTTTGCTGCATTAGATTTCTATCGTCAAAAATGATTCTAGTTGTCTCAAAATCTAAAACCTTCATGAAACAAATATTGGTGTGTTTGTAGTCTTCTTTTTTTATACCATAAAAAATATGAACCTTTGTGATACTGTTGATCATTGTCAAATCATGTATCGGAAGGCGTATCGATTTTAAAAATAATATATTGTATCATTTATCGTGTATTGTAAGATAAGCGCAATTTTAATTTTTAAATAATTATTAATAATATATATATATAATGAAATGCAGTATTTTGGTATCAGAGCCATTTGACGGCTTGGATAGTTACTCATGCAATTATATTTGAATCGTCTTACTTGTTTTAAATTTCTGCTGCTTCAATTAGTAAATCATTTTTAACTTAAATCTACCTTTGTCACCCAATAGTGAGAGTCTAGAACCCATTTGTAAGTCCTAGTGAGAGGCAGTCGAGGGAAGAAGACAACAAATCTGAGGGTTGTATGTTAGGGGGTATGTACAATGGAGTTATTTTAAAAATAATTTACAAAATTGAAAAAGTTTAAATTTAATTATGAGTAGATTATTCAGATCTAATTCTATGGCTAGCTCATCTAGATCTTCATCTAACACTATACCAAATATAGTGAATGAAGAATATGAATATGAAGAGTCACATGTAGATTGGAGTGGATGGAACATCCTAAAGGTTTCTCATAAAGAAATCTATAAAACTAGTTGGCTTCCTAAAGCCTTTAACGAAGAACTCTAAGTAAAAACTATTGAATAAGTTTATGCATTAAATAATGGTGAAGAGTCTTGCCAGTTACTTAGTAAAAAAGCTATCAACAAACATAGGTCACAAGGTTTTAAATTTATTCACCTTGGTTTAGTTCAAGTGGCAATTAAACCACTAATTCCTACTGGTAAAGATGCAGCAATTCTATTATTCCTAAGAGATGCTAGATTCATAAACTATGAACCTAGTATTTTAGGAATAGTAGAAGCTGGTCTTCATAACAGGGCAGTATATTTCAACTGCTTCCCAGACTTTACCTTAAGTCTTGAGTGCCCTAATACTGTAATGGCTTTAACCCTTGGTATAAAACTATCTGGAGAAATTACCAAACTAGTAAAAGAAACCAAATCCCTAGTACTTATCTATAGGATTTACCAAAAATGCATCAACACAAACGTGAATGGGAATGCATCAAAGAAAAGTCCTAAAGATAGCACTTTGTTAATCCAAGCTAGTACTAGTAAAACAAACATTCAAGTCCCTAAAAGACTTTTATGGAAAGATGTTCAACTTCCAGAATCTTGGATAGTTGAAATGAAAATCATAACAAAGATAGTGAAAATACCACAGAAACATAGAGAATATCCAGCAGTTTTTTGATGGATCAATAAGAATCTCCTTTGATTCTGAAGATCCCACAGATCAAGCAGATCAATTAACAAACCTATTCAAATTAATGAAGGTAGAAAATCTGAATCTTACTCTAGTGTGTCTAAGAGAGATAAGATTTAGCAAATAAATTAGAAAAAAGATTTAAGTTAAAAAGAATCGATAATTCCACACCTCACATTAGTATACCATGCTATACACCTCAATCTAAGTTTAAAGCAGAAGAATATGAAGAAGATTTCACACCATCTCCTTCTGCAACAGACTTAGAAAGTAATGCCCCAGTTAGTAAGCAGCTTTTAACAATTAGCAAAGAGAATGATACTATCTTCTTACCAGATTTTAACGGACTAAAAAAAGAATTTAACTCTGAAGTAAATAAAATCTAAAAGAAGAGAGTATAACAAACAATATAAGAGTAAACAACAAGATAAAATAGTTAATCAATGGACAAAACTTATGCTTAAACTAGGGTATGAAATTAAATTTTTTGATTATTTAGAAAACTTCCACAAAGAAGTAAAAGTAGTAACTAAAAGCAAATGGAAAATTGAAGATGCTCAGACAGTATCTTCTAGTCATCCACCAACTGAAACTATAATGATTAACCACAGTATTCACCTTTTAAGATTCCCACTAGTGAATCTGAAAGAAAAATAGTTGAACAAAACAATTTCACCAATCAAATGTCTCATAACAATTGGTAAACAATTGGATAAAATTGAAACTAAGATTGATGAAATCAAACCCTCTTCAGGTAAAAAATTAGAAAAACCTCTAATTCAATTACCGGAAGATAGGAGTAAGTTAGGATTAAAAGATACAAAAAGTAAAAATCTTCATTTAATTGAAAAACTACTACATAAGATGGAAACCAAAACAGAACCATCCCATGTAATAGTTATCAATCAACATGAAGAACAAACCTCTAGTAATTTAGAAACTAACAATGAAGATAGTTCACCAGATTCTGAAATAGGAAAATTGGAAAAACAGTTTGATAATCAGCAAATTAACAAATTAACTTTTCCAAATAATAATCTGAAAAATTGGTACCCTAGGCCAACACTTCCTGATCTTCAATTTGAAAAAAGAAATATTAGTAACCAGTTCTCAGTACAATCCAATAAACTCTATGAAAGAACATAGATGGATTAAGTGAACAGGAAATAATAAATAAACTTCATCATATGTCAATGGTTATCAACAGTTATATTAACAATCTTGATTTAATTGAACCAGAGATAGTTAACCTAATCACTTCTGGTTTCACAGGAATGCTAAAAAATTGGTAGGACAACTACCTTAATCAAGAATCTAGAGACAACACCAAATGTTCTGTCAAAAGAGATGATGAAGGAATGCCACTATTTGATGAAGTCATTGGTAAAGCAAAACCAGATGGGATTAACACTCTCATCTTCACAATAATTAAACATTTTGGAGGAACACACAATAATGTTGAGGCTAGGATCCATGATCAACTTAGTAATCTTAGGTGTCCAACACTTAGTAACTTCAGATGGTACAAAGATGTATTCATCTCCAGAGTAATGCTCAAACCAGATTGTGACAAATCTTTCTGGGAAGAAAAATTTGTCAATTGTTTACCTAATCTATTTGTCTATAAGATTAGAGAAGCACTTGGTAAAGAAACTAGAATCATAGAATATGATTCACTAATCTATGGAGAAATTATCAGTACCATCCAAAAGGAAGGGATGAAGATGTGTATTGACATGAAAATTAGTATACAATTAGAAGATGATAAGAAAAAAACTAAGTATGAAATGGGTAATTTCTGTGAACAATATGGTCTCCTTTTAGCAGCACCATTTAGCAGAAAATTCAAATCTCATAAACCTTATAGCCGTAGTAAAAGCCACTATAAACGTAGTAAAAAGAATTTTCCAGAATCAGAGTATTATGGAAAATCTAGCAAAAAACCCACAAAATCTTATAAGCCTAAAACTTATAAGAAAAAATCAGGGAAAAAGATAGCCAAAATGTTAAGTGTTTTAATTGTGGAAAAAAAAGGCCATATCAGCCCAGATTGGCCAGTTAAGAAAAAGGTAAAACAGCTAAAATTAACTAAAGATCAAACAGAAGAAATTCTTAAAATCTTTAAGTTATGTAACATTAGCCAAAATGAAGAAGGCTCAGAACACTCAAGTAGTCCTGAAAGTTCTTCAGAAAATCAATCAATATCCAGTAGCTCTAGTGAACCTAAAATTAAGCTAAGATGTACAGATAATTGTTGTAAAACAGTTAGAGTTATAACAAAGCAAAATGAGGAAGAACATGCCCTTATAGAACTCATCAGTAAAATAGAAGATCTAGAATTAAAAGTTAAGTACATTAAAAAACTAAAAGATTTGTTTGTCAAAAAAGATGTAAAACAATCTTTTGGTGAGAAACAGTTAATCAATTTCAACAAAACAATGGAAAGATCTAGTAAGGAGAAAAAGAAAGAAATCACCTTACTAGATCTCCAAAGTGAAGTAAACAAACTCAAACAAGAGATAAAAGACTTAAAAGCACAAGACAAAGTCTATGCTGAAACTTTGAGTCTTTTACAAGCAAAAAATAATTTTAGCAAAACAGGTTACTTTGATTCTGAAGCACAGCATGATGAAGAACAATCTCAAGCTAATAACTTAGATAGCTCAGATAGTCCAACTAGAACATGTAACCAGTGGATACCCATAACCTCCACCTCTCTAGTGGAACCCTTGGGTGTAACGAAGTTGCCATCTCATGATGGATGTTCTCAAACCAATAATGATAACAACAGGTTAAACTTGATTAATAAAATTAGTTTTCAAAAATGGCACTACCTAATTAAAATCATAATTGATAATGACTATGAATTAGAAACTATTGCCCTTATAGATACTGGTGCAGATATCAGCTGTATCCAAGAAGGAATTATCCCTATTAAGTACTATAAAAAAATCACTAAAAAACTTAGTTCAACAAATGGTAGCAAAATGAAAGTAAAGTATAAGATACCAAAAGTACACATTTGCCAAAATAATGTATGTTTCAAAACATCCTTTGTTTTGGTACAAAACATGACTGACATGGTTATTCTTGGTTTACCATTTGTATATCTATTGTACCCATTTACAACTAATACAGATGGAGTTACTATGAAACCATTTGGTCAATCAGTAATCTTTAAGTTCTTAGCAAAACCTCAAGCTAAGAAATTAAGACAATTAAAAGACTATTCTGTATCTAAAACTCTTAGTCTAATTAACCAAAAAACTAACCAAGTGAAATTTCTCTAAGAAGAAATCAATCACAAAAGAATCCAAGAACAATTAGCAAATTCAATCTTAATTAAAAAGATTGAAGAATTTAAAGATAAATTGGAAGTTGAAGTATGTTCTAATCTTCCTACAACTTTCTGACATCAGAAGAAACATATGGAAAAACTTCCCTACATTAAAAGATTTAGTGAACAAAATATTTCAACTAAATCTAGACCCATCCAAAGGAACCATGAAGTAATAGAAATCTGCAAAAAAGAGATTTCTGAATTACTCAAAAATGGTATCATTAGGAAGAGTAAATCACATTGGTCATGTTCTGCTTTCTACGTCATCAAAAATGAAGAATTAAAAAAAGAAGTCCCAAGGTTAGTAATCAAGTGATCAACTACAAACCTTTAAATGTTGTTTTGGAATGGATCAGGTACCTAATTCCAAATAAACAGGATTTAATTATAAGACTTAGTAATTCAGTAATTTTTTCAAAATTTGATTGGAAAAGTGGTTACTAGCAAATCCAGATCTATCCAGAAGATAGATACAAAACTGTATTTACGATCCCATTTGGACATTATGAATGGAATGTAATGTTCTTTGGATTGAAAAATACACCTAGTAAATTTCAAAACATAATGAATGAAATATTTAACTGCATTAGTCATTTTTCTATAGTCTATATAGATGATATCCTCATCTTCTTTAGATTTATAGAAGAACACTAGAAACACCTTAATGTTTTCTTAGAGATTGTTAGGCACAATGGTCTAGTTGTCTCTTCTAGCAAAATTAAGTTGTTTCAAACATCAGTTCGATTCCTTGGCTATAACATCCAACAGTCCACTATTATTCTTATCAGTAGAACTATTCAATTTGCAGATAAGTTTCCTGATGAGATAACAGACAAAACCCAGTTACAAAGGTTTTTAGGTTCCCTACACTATGTTTCTGACTTCTATCAGGATTTTAGGAAAACCATCAAACCTCTGTATGACAGACTCAAAGGAAATCCTTCTCCTTGGACTTGTGTTCATACATCTCTAGTCAAACAAGCAGTATATCAAGACTTTGCCTTGTCTTGGTATTCCCCCAGCAAATTCTTTCAAAATTATCCAAACTGATGCCTCCAACATTGACTACGGTGGTATTTTCCAAAGAGTCACTCCAGACTCTCCAGAGCAAATCATTTGTTTCCACTGAATCTGGAACAAAGCACAAACAAACTATAGTACTATTAAAAAAGAAATAATAGAACCAAAGGAAAAAAGAGAAACCGTGATACCAAGGAGCACAGAACAGTGGATTAGGTGCCTGAACCGGACCAAACAAAGCTGTTAGAGGGCTGAACCGGGCTGGAGAACAAAGCTGGACTGCTGAACCAGACAGCCTGGGCTTGCTGGATTGCTGAACCGAACAGCCTGGGCTTGCTGAACTGCAGAACCAGAGTAAATGTTGACTGAACCGTGAACCGGTCTAGGCTGGACCGTGAGCTGGACAGGAGACTGAGTGGGCTGGATCAGGTCTGGTCTGGGTTGGACCAAAGACTGAGTGAGTTGGATCAAAAATAATTCAAACCTGTGGACTCGGATGCGAGTTTGGGTCCAGTATCCAAACCCGTGGAGTCGGGTTGGACCTTGGCTTCTTCGTTGATAGGGTTTCAGAAGGCCTGGTCTTCAACGGCGGCACCTAACAGCTACACCACCACTATGAACAACACCACCACAACAAACAACACTACAATAGCACCACCACATAGACAAACAATAATGACAGCACCACCACGATCGACACCACCACAATCAACAACACCACAGTGCCACGGTCGACACCACCACAGTCAACAACGCCATCAAGGCCACTGTAAGCGTTTCCACCACCACGATGTCTTCGACGACATCACGCTAAATTATTATTTCTTTATTTAGGATTTTAATTGCTTTGATACTATGTTAAATTTAGAGTTAACACAATATTAGAGAGAACTGAGTGGTTAAAAATTTAACCTAGCTCTCATTCATCACTTGTATTTATAGTTAACTCACAATAATAAATATTACACATACATCCTCTTACTATTAACAATTTACACATACTACCCTAATATTCTTAACAATGTTTAATACGGATGCAGTTAAACAATTTAGGCCTAAAATTTTGCAAAATTTTCAAATCCAGTGACCATCTTTCCACCTCTTTTATGGTATCATATCAGGTAGCTGATTCACTTGAGAAAGGCACTGAACATGAAGATGAATACATGATCAGTGAAAAGGAGCTCCTTGTTAACAGGTAAAAAATTCCTGTTGTTTGTGATTTATATTGTGTCTCTCTCATGTTTGCTTCCTCTGCCATCTTGTTGGAGCTATACTTTTCAGTTAATGTCTACCTGATGTGCCTTATTTTGGATTGTAGATTTATTTCTATACCAAAAGACATGGGAGCATTTAACTGCGGGGCATTTGTTGCTGGAATAGTAAGGGTGTGTATCATGTTGGCTTAGTTTGCATTAATTGATCATCTTCTGTCAGAAAACTAATAGATTTCTTCTGCTCTTTGAAGGGTGTTTTGGATAGTGCAGGTTTTCCATCAGTGGTAACGGCTCATTTTGTACCTGTGGAGGGCCAGCAGCGACCACGTACAACCATATTGATAAAATTTGCTGAAGAGGTAGATGCTATACATTTTTACATTTTATTATTTATTTTCACTGATTCTTTGTCTTAAGTGATATATTTAGCTTGTTTTTTTGATAGGACACTTGCTTAACGAAAACTTAAAATTACATTAAACAAGGTTGGATAAGAAATCTGTTGCATATATTGTTTGGATCTCTCATGCATTATATCTACTATAAAATAATCATTGATTTTTTAAACAAAAGAAAAAATGTGAAACAATTTTTGCATTTGATTGATAAGTAACCGACTATGGAACTTGTTTCTATGCCATTGGGGCTGTGTGATGTTCAAATTTCACTTCTTGTATAACCAAAAGAAAAGATCATTTATGCATGAAGGGGAAATTCACCAACCAAATAAAAAGCTATGGATTTAGTTTGTGCGTTTGCTCATTTGCAACTTCCAAGTCGTGGAAATGATCTTAATTATTTCCACCTTTGACATATAGAAGTGTCTAATGTGATTTCTTTCTTTGAAATTCTGCATTTGTCTTCCTTTCCTCCTCCTGCCCTTTTTTTTTTTTTTTTTTAAACATTCTGAATAAAGTAATACCATTAAAAATTGCAATCATGATTTAGAATATGCAGTCAAGTAGGTTTTGGAACTTTTTAGAATTGCCAAATTATTGACTACCCCCACCCCCCCCCCCCCCAAAAAAAACACACACACACACACCCACCACACACAAAAGAAACAAAAAAGAAAATTACTGACAGAATGCAGTTGATTCAAATAAATTGTAGTTTTCTTACCAATTCTAACAAATTTCTTTTCATGAAGTTGATTTCAATTTAGATTCTGAACTTTTTAGAATTTGCCTAATTTTAGGCAGAGTATAGATAAGCCAGTTGATTTAATTGATTTTTTTTTAAAACTTAAAATATTTGGGAAATATACAGTCAGTGTAAATGGAAAGTTGGAATATGTTTTCACTTACTAAATTGCAAATGCTCCAAAATCATGACCAACAGGATTCCGCTATCTAATATTAAAGGTTGAAGTAATGAAACTTGGGTTCATATCTAAATAAAAAGTAGATTATGATTATAAAATTGGGTTCATTTGAACTTTCTTTAATGGGATAAAATGTTAAGTGTTATAAGGAAACAGTGCTTGACATGCATCTGAAACCTGGCCTAACTGGAGCTGAGGCTGCAAATGAACCAAGCTATCCTGCTGGAGTAATGGGCTGTTCAATTTTGCCCTGTTGGAATTTGGCCACAAGTTGAAGCTAAGTTTCAGCTTTCTCTAGCTTACAATATTTGCATAATCTTACTCAAATCAATCAATCCTTTATTACCTTAACCCTTAGTGTCAAAAGGAAATATCGTAGTACCACTATTCACATTTAAGTCAGCTATTTATTCGGTGTTGTCAGTTTAAGATCGACCTCAAAATCTAATCTAAGCATGTGCTTAGCTTGTTGAGTTGGTGGATGATCCTTAATGAGCTCCATAACAGCCAAGTCCAAGCTGTTACGAGCAGGTTTTGTCATTTGCTGCAACAAAAGGAGCTATAAAAGATTGTTTGGCTTCTATGTAAAACCTGATTCTGCTCCACTCTCTGGGGATGCAGTTTCTAATTCCTTTACATTGGAGTTTTCTGCGGTCTCATGCGACATTGCTTCATAACATATCTCCACACGATTTGACAATTACTTATTTAACATATACATTGGTATAGCCATTGGTTTTGAATTTTGGAGAATTTTGGTTCACTGGCAACTAAACCGTGGAGCTGTGCATTTTTTGAATGGACTCATGGGTGGTAACCTCGATCCATGATTAATTTAGTATTTCTCGAACCGGATATTATATTGAAAAGAGGCTTTTCGAGCCCATGTAGGGTTTCAGACTCTTGTTGAGATGCTGTTTCTTGTTATTGATTAGCATTCAGGCTAATATAGAATTTCCCTCTACTTAAAAGATTGCCCTTCGATTTTGATTGGCATCATTACCTCTGTTGAAGTCCAGAAAATTTTCCATTTTCCTGCTCTGGGCATATTCTTTCTGTAAACTTTTTAGAGATTACCTTGCTTTGCCTTAATTCACCCACTTTTTTTCTGTTGCAGGTGTTACGAAGAGAAGCTAGATTAGGATAGTTTTCATGTGTGATTGCTTTGTGTAATTTTTACCAAGGTTATGCAATGAGATATTGGGTGGACGGTGAAACTTCTGATTGGCACAGTGGAAGCAACCAGATATACACGTAAACGCTATCAGGCATTCTTCACTCTAGTAAATTGGATGCCATCTAGGCATTTGTAATGCTTTGTGCCATTTGTCATGGTACAATATCTTTGATTGCTCTGAAAATTGTATTTCAAATTAGTTCAAAAAGAGGATCATGTGCTAGATCCATCTGTGTGTAGTCTAGATCATCATTGCCTTCACCTTGCTGTTTGTATGTCTAAGGTGGATTGTGTAAGTAGGAGAGACACTAATATCAGTTTTCAGTTGAAAGGGAAAAAACAGATTGCTGCAGTTGGACCTCTGAATGCAAATAACGGCGAATATGTATTTCCGAAAATTCCAATTGAGAAATGTCGATCTATTGTGTGAAATCATCCTGCTTTCTATCATTTGTTTGGGATTCTACATTGGAAATAAATACAGAGTGATGGCCATGCGTTAGATTAGCCAAACCTGCTGTTCATTGGGTTTTTGGTTTGTCCAAACTATTCTTTGACAGATGAAATTCATTCAACTTGCCGTCAAACGGGGGGACAAGGGCAATTTAGACATTCTCTCGCTTCCTTCTGTATCTAGTGCTTTCAGGAATGGCATGCATCCTTACGCTAGTTGCTTATAGCATAAATCTCATTTAGCAGAATTCTGTCTGTGGGTCTGTTCTTGTTTGGCTCATATCTCAATCTACTTGAACATGAAAAAAAAAAATTAGGGCACAGGTTTCTGCCACTTGCCACTGCAAGACTCGTGGATGGTTAGATTTACCCACCTCTTTGCATGCGAAGAAGTTGTCTCACTCAAACCCATTACGTTTAGATCTACATACAATATTCTTATCGTCACATCAAGAACTAAATAATATAGTTAAGAGTTAGCTGTAAAATTACATGAAATTTTTTTACCTCCTGTGTGCTCTCAAATGTTCTCCCCTTAGGTGGCACCGAGTGAACCAATCAGGCCTCTGGAAGTCGTTCTACTCCAAAAGAATCAATCAACATGATACGTGGCAACTTCTGCAAAACAGTTTTTTGTTTTCAAAATTTTAAAAATATCCAAAATTTGTTTGTTTAGTATTTTTATTCTCTAAATTTTTAAAAAAAATGAAGTTTGAGTCAAAAAAACAGAAAACAAGTGTAGTTTATTTTCGGAGTTTTTTTTGAAAATTTTGGAAATAATGAGAATAATTTTGGATGTTCAGATATAGATATATATATGTCTTATATATATATATAAATAAATTTTTAATATTTTTTTATTAATGTTTGAATTACTGTTCAAATATATATTTAGGCTATCCAGGTTTTGCTATTTTTTGTATTATAAAATTGTTTTTGAAATCATCTAATTAAACAAATTTTTTATCTCAAAAAATATCAAAACCACTTTTTTAAAACTCTTATCAAAAACTATTTTCGAATACTATTTTTTGAAACACAAACCAAACAGCCCACCCACTCTCTCTTCTTGATTTGGGGTATCTGTGGAAACCCATTTTCCTCCCACGAAAATAGCCAGGTTATTAGACTCGGTACATTGCTGACTAGCCACTTTCTGTTATAAGAAGGGATTCATTTAGTTCCTGTATTACTAAATTAATATTCCCTCCGTTCTTAAATATTTGTCGTTTTAGATAATTTCTTTTTATTCTATAATATCTGTTGCTTTATAAAACCAAAGCATAATTAATATTTTTTCTTCCAAATTTACCCTTAACTTTTCAATACATTAAATTAGGTGGATGCTAAATATTTTTTATATTATTTTCCTTCTCAATACGTATTGATGTGTAATTATTTTTTACTCATATTACAATTATTTAACAGTTTCCTTAATCCCTGTGAAAAAACTTTAAACGACAGATATTTAGAAACGGAAGGAGTATAATAACGATGCCAAACCTCGGGATAGCAATCCCCCCCCCCCCCCCCCCCACCCACCAATATTATGGTATTGAACAGGCACATAAGTAAAACTATGCAGAAGTTGAGAGAAGCTAGGGCATTTTACAGTCTCAGAAATATGATTCATTGAATTTCAAGAGAAAAAAAATGCATAAATTGGATTCTTTTTCCTATTTTCTCAGCTAATCTAAACATGTTATAATATAATGACAGGCATTGGCCTAAGGTAGGAGTAAATATTCGGTAACTCGGCAATATCAAGTCATCATTGACAGCTGTACAACCTGAAAGCAAGATGTGTATGGTATATGTCACATATGTTTAATCGGACGCAATCCAATTTACCTGCCACATATACATATTTAAGGCAGATTATACACTTTTAGCATCTTATTGTCGATTGTGATACCACATGTATGTGACAATAGCTAAATCAACATTATCAAATGAAGCAGGTTAGCAAATGGTTGAGTGGGATAAAACCTATTTAAAAAACCTAAATGCTGGGCTCCTAGGCTCACAAAAAACGGATTGGTACGACACTAGCTGTACCTGACAAGTTAGATCTCACTGTGAGGTAGGATAAAATGTATGAGGTACCAATAATGTTAACTAGATGAACAAAAGGTTCCAGTCTCTGTATAGAAAAGCTAGAGTATGAAAAACAAGTAACAAGGATTGTCCAAAACCAATACAATCTCTGCACATCAGAATACTATCTGGATTTACTAAATCCCACATTCTACTGCAAATCTCTAGTGTAGAAAGACAAGAGAGAGCCAATGGTTGTGAACACTAAACAGAATAAGTTTCGGTGCTTTGAGATAGAAATTCAGGCAACTGGACTAAGCAAAGAGGCATTGGGCAATTTGGCAAAGAAAAGATTATTCGAAAGAGCAGAATTAATAGATTCAGATTAAGCTAGAAGTATTAAACCCTACAGACAGTTGTTCTTGGAGACAAGATTTCATACCAATCAAATGAAGAACAATTTCCCGCTGCTTCTAGGAAAACTTTGGCATTTAAACCTGGGATTCTCATTGTAACTAAATGATGCAAGAAAATACAAGATTTTTTAAAACACTAACTGAAAAACTAGTGGAATTAAATTTGCAAAGGGGCATGAATAATACGTGTTTCACCCAATACAAATTTTATAAGTAATGATGCAAATCTATAACACGGTTTTCATACACTTTTTTTCTTCCTTTCAGAACATAAACTGTGTGTGTTCCCAACACACTTCATACAACCAATGGAGCAAGCAAGGATAACACCTTTGTCAGTTGTCATGCAGATAAGGCAGTCATTAACCTAGAGGGCAATGGTGAAGGAGGTTTAGTATGTTAGCTATTATTGAACAGCATACAATGTCACAAAGTAAGATGAAATAATGGATATCTAAGAAGTAACAGATCTTCCTTTCCTCAAATTATGTCGCCTATTTGAACCACCACTACAAAAGAGAGTGGTGATTATGATCATCAATTCAGTGTCTAAAACAGCTCAAATGTAGTGACAAGCAGCAGCATTATAATCCCACTATTTTAACAATACTATAGAAGATTGGGAATTATACCCAACTAAGCTATATAATAGCATTTGGCTTATTTGCATGTAGACTTATGCAGCTATGAGTCATTTGAGCTTCAAAACATAGGATTCTTATGTCTCATATTTCCTCGCAGCAAAAAGAGACTGTAAGAAGAGGGATAGCAACTCAACTCAAGCTTAAGTGATCCTAAAAAAGTGAAGATTAACATTAGTGCATGCAAGCTACACGATACATGGCAAAACTTGGTTTGAGTCATGTCAAAATGGGTACAATTCCAGCACAATTTTATAATTTTATCTTTTAAAAAGGGTATTGCAGGGCAATTGGAGTGAACGGAAAAAAGGAAGAAAAAAATTCATAAAGAGAACACAAAAAGAAGCCAATACTGAAAAAAAATGTAGTCTAACAAAAAGATTATTATGTTATTTATAAAATACCTTTTTTCAATTACTAATTTGTCCATTCTCAATACCAAGACCATACAACACACCAGTATATTTTTCCGGTGAGCCATTAAAGAAATTTTCTTTCAACTTCATGAATGTACAACAAGTAAGCAAACTATCCGAACCAGCTTGATGACA